TACTCTAGATTTATATACTTGGTAGGTGGGCGTGCTTCTGATGCCTAATTTCTTTTGTCTTTATTATGATATGATTCATGTGAAGTAAAATGGGATTTTTCTTTGATTTAGGAGTCAATTTCAATACTGTTGATCTTTTTAAAAGAATGATTGAAATTTCATTTGTCACTTTTGGCTCCACCTTCGTCTAAATTTGTGTTGCACTTTGTTAATATTTTACTACTGCTAATGTTCTGAATATTTGCTTGTTCATGTTCTAGTTTCAAATACCGTTAATGTCAACTTAATAAGCAATGTGTTATGTCCCAGCATTTCTCTGTTACCATAGACATATGGGCATTTGTATTTTTTCTTCTGAGTATGGTTTATATGGCTTTTGTGGAAAAACCAATGTCCAAATATCATTCTTAATTTCTCATAGATTCCATCTCAAAAGTGGGACTTATGTCTTAATTTCTTCATAAAAATAAAATGATGCACACTCCAGTTAACACCTTATGGTAGTTGAGGCTGTTTTTATGTTATCAGGTCTGTGATTTGGTTAAGGGAATTTTGCTGGTCTCAAAAGAGATTGATTTAATTGTCTCTGTATTATTTTGGTTGATTGCCAGTTAGTACCAAGTGTTATTGTTGTTGCTATATTCTTTCACTAATGGCACATCTTTCTCATTCGCTGCATTTTTTGGTAGGTTTCTGGAAACACAGAGAAGGCTAGGGAAATTCTAACTGGAGCACTTGACCAAGTCCAACTGTCTAAACCATTCCTTGAGGTTCTCTCTCTCTCTCTCTCTCTCTCTCTCTCATGCGCATGCATGCACTCGTGCTTACATCATTACATCTTGTCTGAACATTCTCCTCTGTTTTCTGCTTTTTCTTTTGTTTTACATGTAGGCATTAATACATTTTGAAACGATTTTGCCACCACCAAGGCAGATTGATTATTTAGAATCCCTAGTTGACAAGTTTATAGCCCCGAACTCAGATGGCAGTGCTGCAGACAGGGAAGATCTATCTAGTATATTTTTGGAGGTAATAATTTTGTGTTAAAAAAGTTGCTTGCGCATGACCTGGTTTATTGGCTGCAATCGAATGTAATTGTCTGCATGTGCATTGAGTCCTTAGCAATATATTCTGCTTAAGCTACTTTGTGTGGTTTCATGTGTGGAGGTTTGGTGAATTTGGCTGGAAAATGGAAATTACTTATAGCCATAATTTTGACCCCCTTTTCTATCTTGAGTTTGTTTGAGGATGTTTCTCTCAAGTTTGTGAATGCTGTTTGAAAATGTCTTGAGTTTGTTTGAAGACTTTTTCTCGTAAGATTGTGATGCTGTTTGAGACGCTGAATTCAGTGTTCTGATTGTTTAAATTGGTGCTTTAATGGAAAAAAATGTTGTAATAAAACCTTTTACTGGTAGCTCAACTTCGGAAAATAATGGTGCAGTTCTTGAGTCTCTTTGGAGATGTACAGTCCATTAAAAGGGCAGAAGATCGGCATGCTAAGCTCTTTTTACCTCATAGGCCCATGTCGGAATTAAGAAAACGTCATGCTGAAGATTTTTTGTCATCAGATAAGACAAAGTTGGCAAAATCTTACTCTGGTGCCCCTTCACCTGGCCAGTCTTTGATGGGTGCCTATCCAAATGCACAAAACCAGTGGCCTGCTGGTTATGCTGCACAGCCTCAAACTTGGCCACCCACTACTCAAGCACAGGCACAGGTACAGGCACAACCGTGGACTCCTGGCTACAGCCAACAGGTAGATTGCAGTTTTTAATGGTATTTTTAATTGTATACCAGGACATGCTTATCTTATTTTCATGACTTATTCTAGCTATTTTTTATTTGTTTATTTTGATATTGGTGATCTAGACTCATATGATTTTGTGCTTTTAATTTGTATATGCTGTTAGAAGCACTTGTATTCCATGAAATGTTAAAAAGACTTAACTTGTATTTGATATATGCAGTGTGATATTCATTATTAACCTATTATCTTTTGACTGTTGATCTTTATGAATTTAATATAATGGAAAGTGGTTTCTCTGCCTTGGTTTCTTCCTCAACTCTTTGTTTCATATGTTAAAAAACAGTGAGGTTGATTCTTTTTTCTGGTCATATAGGGTTACCTTGATTGGCTGTGATGATCTTTAGCTTGTGCCTATTATGGACTTATTTGGTAGATGTTTTCTCATAGGATTTAAGTGGGGTGGATGAAATGAAAAAGTGGATCGGGAATCTTGAATGATCAAAAAATTTAACTGGAACTTGATGGAAAGTTTTATCGGATGACAACTAGATCAGGAATGTTTTACAGGATGGAATGTTAACAATAATGTTTTATGATGGTTGCTGAATGACAATGCTACATTGGATGTATGGGGATACAAGGAAAGACAAGATGATGAATAGATGTACAGGAGAAAATATGAGGGTAGCATGCATAGAGAAATATATATGGCAAGGACATGGAAAGAGGAATAATAGCAGCCATAGCTTTAGAAAACTAGCTGAAATGTTAGCATGCAATTTATGGCTGCCACTAATTTCTCATTGAGTGTTTGCGCATTTATATGTTTGCATATTATGCTTCTTGCTGTCATTGTCATGTTTTTTTTTTTTAATTGATGGTTTGTTTTTATATAATTAGGGGAGGGGGGATTCGAACCCTGCTCTTTAGACAAGGGGATAATGCATCAATTAATGAGTCAAATGCTCGGGTGCCATTTTCATGTTTGGTTGACTGTTTTATAATTTTTGATTTGTAGGCTGCATATGGTGCGTATGGTAGTTATGGTAGCAATTACGCCACTCAACAAGTACCCACATCCGTTCCACAAAGTGCTGGTTATGGTGCTTATCCAACAACATATCCTGTTCAGGTATGAAGCCTTTTAAACAACTGCTTCTGATTCGTTTTGCAGCAATTTGGCAAACCATAGTTTGAGATATTAGTAAAACAACTGTCACTCTGATGTACAAAGGCCAATAAATGAGACATGGATATCATTCCACTTGCTACTTCTTATGTATGAAACGTGGTCCTCACTTTCTTCAACTGAAATGGTTGATTGAATTTTAAATTTGGATATGTAAGCCTTTTTTATTTCATTAATTGCAAACATTTTTAAAGATTTGTAGCACATTCCCTGTGCTGGTTTACTTAATAGCTGAGGTAGGTAATCTGCACTGCAGCAGACACTTAAAATTTGAAGCTTATGCTTGTGGAATGATGGTCATGTAAATTTCCTTTAAACTTCTTTTGAGTACAATATTCAAGTGTCACACTCATCAACATTCCGTAGTGACTTTTTCTTGTGTGGAGCTAATGTATTTTCTGTAATATTCTGTAGACGTTTCCTCAACAAAGTTATGCTCAACCAACTGCTACCACAACGTTAAACCCAGCTCAGCAACCTGCCGCAACAGTTCCTCAGAGTTATTATGGGCCTTACTATTGAGATAGAAATAACATGGTCGCCTAATTTTTTTGTCTCATTGATCATCTGTATGCTTAACCTGACCTGTAATTGCTGTCTCTAACTTGCAGTTAGCCAAGGTGGACATTTTTGGGGTTGCGGGTGGGGTAGATGTTGAGAGTAGGAATCTGGCAGTGGTAAAATATTGTACTGTAGTAGGTATTGTGGTCTATTTCTGTGATTTGATTTTAGATATTTTTGTACAAATGTTAGTAATTTATGGGATCAGATCTGCAGTTGTGTTTCCTATGGGACTTAGAGCGGTGAAAAGGAAAAACAAGTTTAGTTTCCTTGTGTGGCGCAAACATTTCTGGTTTTCTTCTGTGCTGCTGAAAAGGAAATGGTAATTACCGTTAAATCATAAAGTGGTAAGTCCGTTAGAGGAGGTAGATGGATAGATTTGGGTTTGAAGAGAAATTAATTCAGATGAGAATCCTCCCTGATATGATATGCTTGCACTTTTTAGCATTGGTAGGCCTCCGTCTTCCATTCCCGTATCTTACCAAAACATACATGCGCTTATTGCCGTCAGCGTTACTGGATTCCACCCATTCAGCCCGTAACTTAACATAGCATGCGCTCTGCCTCTTGCGTGTTGCCCATGCCCTCAGTCCTAAGGGGTCGCTGTCATTTTGTGCGGCCACGTTCATCGAAACTTATAACACTTTAAAAAAGAAATTTAAATTTATAAGAGTATTTAAATAAATTTTTAATTTTTATTATTTAATTAAATTTTTGTATTTTTATGTTACATAATTTTTAAATAAAATTTTAAGCTATTCAAGTAGGTTTTTATTTTTTTTATTGTTTTTAATTAAGTATTTTTATTTTTACCTTGAATTAAATAATAATAATTAATTATTATCAGTCATTTTATATTTATAAGTTATTATGTTAAATTAACATTTAATGTTATCATTATTTATGATGTTAGTATTATCATATCATTATCAATTATAATATGTTGACATACTATATTAGTATTATATAATATAAAATAATAAATAATATTTTAATTAAATTTATAATTAACGATAAGAATTTATTTGATTCAAAATAAAAATATAAAAATTTATTTCATTTAAAATAAAAATATAAATGTTTGATTCTACTCAATAAAAATATAGAAGTTTTATTTCAATTTTTTTAAATAGCTTGAGAGTTTTTATTAGAAATTATGTTTTTTTATTTTAAATAAAATTTTTTTATATTTAATAATTATTTAATTAATATTAATAAAAATATTATTTATTATTTAATGTTAATATAATTTGTTAATGTGTTATAATATATGATGTATGCTATTATATAATATATATATATATATATATATGATATTTTTTATTTTTTGTGTTAACATCCAGGACACTTTAACACGAAGAAATTATAAAATGATAAATAATCAGTTATAAAGTAATAAGTAAAAAAATATCATTTAACCCAATCCAAAATAAAAATATATGAATTTAAATATTTATAAATAATTTAATTTCGTTACAGAACAGAGACGGCTAAAACTGTGAGTTTGGAGTTAAAAGAGTGCCTGCTCGGCCTGCCCCCAGATCTAAGCGTCTTTCTCTTTCTTAGATTCTTGAGAAAAGAATTTATTAACCCACCTCAACCTAGCAATCTCCTTCTATCTTCTCTTTATCTGCTTCAATCAGCTCTCTCCAATTGTGGACTAACTTCATTCAGCTTTGTCTTTTTCAACACCAAAACACAACGCCCTATAGAGATAGAAATATCGTCAAGCCCTTTTTCCTCTGGCATTTAAACTTAAAACCCTAGTCTTTTCCAAAACTAGGGTTCCAGATACTCAAGTCACACTATTTGGATCTGTGGGTCGATCAATCTATTTCAAGAGCTATAACGGTTAGATCTTCCTCGTTGCATGCTTTTGTTTTGAGGTCTGCTAACTCATTCGTAATGGCCACTTCCTACCCAGGACCCGTTCAGGTGATTCTTTTTTTCTTTTCTTTTCTTTTATCTCTGTATGGGTTTTTAGTTTTCTTATTTTTTTATCAATAAATGTTTTATTTTTAAATTTCAGGTAGGTTCATATTTCGTGGGACAATACTATCAGGTGCTACAACAGCAACCTGATCTAGTTCATCAGTTTTACTCAGATGCCAGTACCATGATTCGGGTCGATGGAGATTCCTCTGAATCTGCTTCTGCAATGCTGGTGACATTTATATTCGAATTTTCTTTCTTTATGTATTTCAATTGAGTTTGCTTAAGCATGATCTTGTTGTCAATACAGTATTCCTTTTTCAATTTACTGAATTTTGATTGATGTTATATTTTTCCTTATTATTGTATCTGATCAGTCGCATATTGTTTTCTATTACTCCTTGTATTTTTTATGTTCCTTCAAGTGCATGCTCTTATAACAGCTACCACATAATTCTGGCGAATGATTTCTGAGTTGGGCAAGGATAAGCTAGGTTGGGGAGACATAATATGAAATGGATTCTCTCAAAGGCTCTTTCTTCTTTTTCCTTTTTTCCTTTCTTTTGTTTTTTGGGCTATGGGAAGTTATCATCTTAAGAAATGGATTCTCAAGATCATCGGCTTTTTAGGTGTAACAACCAAAAGCCTTTTCTTAATTCTTTTGGTTGTTGCATATCCCTTGCAAATTTGCATTATGAACATAGTTTTACTTTTAATAATTATATACTCTCTCTCTCTCTCTCATAATTCCTTTCTGTTGAATGAATTTATCTTTATCCTTTTATTATATGGCATCCTTGGTTAGTTTGCGGTAATTTATTGGGTTCTTGTGATCTTTCGCTGCAGCAAATTCATACCATGGTCATGTCACTGAATTTAACTGCAATTGAGATCAAGACGATTAATTCTCTTGATTCTTGGAATGGAGGTGTTCTGGTGATGGTTTCCGGTTCTGTTAAAATCAAGGATTTCAATGGAAGAAGGAAGTTTGTGCAAACCTTTTTCCTTGCCCCTCAAGAGAAGGGTTACTTTGTTCTCAATGATATCTTTCAGTTTATTGATGATGGAATGATTTACCAGCATCCAGTTTCCACATTACAAGAAAACAAGCTTGATGCTCAACTAAATGTGTCAAGCCCTGTTGCAGAGTCACCGGCTACTGCAGGCAAGCTTTTTTGTAACTTTAATGTGAAATTTTTACTTCAAGCTGTAGCATTTTGTAGACTCTTTATCAACATGCTAAAAGTAGTCAACTAGGTTTGGAGCCTTGGACCCTGTCTTCTCAACTTAAACAATTTACCTTTTCCCGGCCATGTTCTATAGTTGATAGTTTGGTGTTGTATAACAACTTTCGTAATTCAAATAGAGATCTTAGAATCAGTTAAATATCTTTATATTCAATGACATTTTATACTTACACAGAAATTAGATCTTCAAGGCTTCTTTTGACCTTAGTCTGTTTGCTTATAGTTCTACTACTTGAGGCATTGAAACCTCAGACGCCAAATTGTACTTTCTCTTTTTTGGTTAGTAAATTTCCACATGCTAAGTCTTTACTTAAAATTATTGGTCAGGAGGTACCCTTTTTTTTTTTTAATCTCTGGGGAATAATCTTTCTTTCCATTGGTATTCTGGGTCTAACCTGTTGGATTTAGCAGTTTCTGACTATGTTTTGGAGGAAGATGCCAGGGAGTATGTCAACTTTGTTCATATAGAAGATGATCCAATTGACAAGTATAGTCTCCCAGAGCAACCACAGGAAGAAGATGTTGAAGATGAAGTTGTGGTGGAGGAAGCTCCTGCAGAGGAAACTCTTGCTTCACATCACACTGGGGTGAACACTGTGCAAGAACCCCCAGCTATGCCTTTGGAGGAACCTGTTGTGGAGCCTGCAAGGAGAACATACGCCTCTATTGTAAGTGCTCCTCTGTTGCTTTTTATGCAAGCAGTCTAATTGCGAGTGGCCATGTGTGTTTGTGATCCTACCTTGTTCAAGACTTCTCCCTCATTGCTTACTTTTTTTGAAACTGCTATTGTTTTATATAAACTAGTCCATATCTGTTTTATCCTTAATGCAACCAAAATATCCCGTGAATTTTATCCAAATGTGTGGCATAAATAACAATCCGCCATACATTACTGAAACAAGTCCATGCATGTAAAGAACAGACTATACAAAATAAAGGATTAATAAAGAGAGCCATGCACGTGAGTGAGAAAAAGAAATTATGTGTGCTTGCCCTGAGTCATCAAACTTGGGAGTAAAGTCTGATAGGCCTTATCCAAACGAATTCTGCTTCTATCTAATGCCTACACACACAGATTAATGATGTTTAATTTGTTGGAAGTTAAGTAACTCTGATCGGTTGACCAACATTATTGGTGTTTCAAATGGTGTAGTTGCGTGTTATGAAGGAACAATCTGCTTCATCTGTTCAAGTTCAACCTTCTTATAATAAAATTCCCCAGATTACTTCAGATTGGGATCATACACCGGAGCCTACTAATCAGCAGTCACGTCCTGCGTGGTCAGATGTGTCTGAATCTGTGGCAGAGACAGCAGAGGAAGGCTTGGTCTCTGAAGAAGGTTACTGTAACTATATATACCTTGGTATATGCTGTTTACATTAGGACTTACAATAGCTGTCAATTTATTATCATGCTTTGGCTGGCTTTATCGGTTCCCCTTTGCATTGATTTCTGGGAAAGGACATTTCTTAAATGGACAATCTGGGTATTTAGTGTGAGCCACGGAGCATCAAAATTTCATTTCTACATTTAAGGAGTTAAAGTTTCAGAGAGTGGATTTTTTTATCTTTTCATTTAGAAAATACCTTCGTGTATGCTTAGTCAGAGAATATTTATTATTATTATTATTATTATTTGAAAAGCAGAGAAGATTTATTAGTTGCAGTTCATATAAATGCTTATAGTAATTGGGAGTTGCACTCTGATTAGTGATATTCTTTCAGGTGAATATACAGGTGAATATAAATCTGTCTATGTGAGAAACTTGCCGTCTACTGTTACTGCTGCTGAAATTGAGCAGGAGTTTAAGAACTTTGGCAGAATCAAGCCTGAAGGCGTGTTCATCCGGAACCGCAAGGTGATTTCTTTTTCTTCCCTTGTTGATTATCTTTGGTATATATCACATTGAAGAAACTAAATCAGGGTTAGATGCATGCAGGATGTTGTTGGTGTTTGCTATGCTTTTGTTGAGTTTGAAGACATTCTTGCTGTTCAAAATGCAATCAAGGTATGAATTTTCATTGTTGTTTGTGCTTTTTCTCTCGAGCAAATGTGTGGGATGGTAGCTAGTAGCTAATTATTGAATCTAGTTTATTTCACTTACAGCATTTCTTTTAAGAACTCATTGTTGAATTATTTATTTAAAGTCCTTGTTTGGCTTGTTGTGTTTGTTGGTGTCATTGAATTTACTACAGAAAGAGCTATGAACACTCTTTGAACATTGCACTATTGTCATTACATTCTAGTTTTATCCTTCATAGTTGTTTATTTTGTTGTATCAAATTTAAACTGCATCTACATATATTTGTGATGCTTTGTTCTGTTTCTCAAGATGGATGAGATGAGATGAGTGGCTCAGCGGTGAAAGAGCTTCTTGAGTGAAATACAGGAAAAATGAGGGGATTTTGAGATGGGAGAGTGAAGGAAATAAACCTGCTCTCCATTGTTTTTTATTAACAAAGAATTGACTCATAGCACCATCAACTGTCAAACTTCTAGAGTGTTTCATGGCATGAAGGTACTATTTACACACACACACACACACACACAACAGAAGTCCCAGGTGGAACCTTAAGAGTGACATGCATTCACTTTTGTAGCTAATGCATATTTACAGTCATCCGGAACCTTTGTTGTTTCTCTTTTGGCTTTGTAGATATTTTTGACACAATGCTGACAAAGTTTTGTCTCTTCTATAGGCATCTCCCATACAGTTGGCAGGAAGGCAAGTGTACATTGAGGAGCGCCGACCAAATAGCAGCAGTACACGGGGAGGAAGTATGTTCCTTAATACATATTCAGTGTTTTGTTTTTATGCATGCTAGAATTTCCTTCAATATTTTCAGTAAATTTTTTCACCAACTACTGCATTTGGTAATCTTTATTCTTCAGAACATCTACAACATCTACAAAAGCACTCTTTACAACCTCTGTTGTGTTGCTACATTCTTGAGCTTTAATTTACATGTTGCGTCTCTAAAATTTTGCATTTCTAAGATAATCCTGTGTGGATCTCCAAGCATAATTGGCTGCCAACCAGGTCCCAAGATAAACTCATAATTCTGATTCTTGGATTTAGATCTATGTTGTTTGGACAAGAGTAGAGCTGGCCGGTATCAGATGTAGTGATGTTTGAATTAGGTTTCTTGTACTAAGTCTTACATTGTGCATGCACACAAAACTGTTCCAATTATGCTGTTGTATATAATGTGCTTGATGGGCAACTTTGTATAAAAAACTGTCAATCTTGATGAACTTTGAGTATTGATTCAATAGCATCTGTAACTTATAAAGACTGCTTTCTGTTCTTTGTTCCTCATTTTAAAGAAAAAGAAAAAGCTATTCTTTCAGCCTGTGCAAACCGTGTATTTTTATGTAATTTGAACATTTTTATGTGTTCAAAAGCGCACTTGATTTGCATTGATCTGTTGCTGTTCAATTTAAAATGGCATGGCATGGTAGTCAACTTTCTCACTGAAATGAATTTGCTGGAGTTTTTACTTTGTGGACATGATGCTATTATTCAAATTGATCAGGAAGGGGAAGAGGCAGGGGCGGTTATCAACCTGAGGCCTCAAGAGGTCGTTTTGGTTCCCGGAGTTTGGGTAGGGGAAACAACCAAGAATCTGGTGACTACAGATCAAGAGGCAATGGTTTTTATCAGCGGGGTTCTAGATAAGAACAGCATCTTGAGAAACTGAATACAAGTTGGCCGAACTCTTCAACTGCTTGCGCACTGGGGTTTTCTTGAATCTTGGGGTGATTGCGGGTTTACAGTTCGGATTGATCATTTCCCACCAGTGACTTGAGAAGAATATGCTTGTACCGTTTTCCAGTGTGTTATTCCTCATAAAAGGAGTGTTGAACATTTTGAATTATATTTCCTTTGATAGGCATATATTTCTCCCCTCGAATGCTTTTTATCATGCAGCTCAAGTGGAGAATTTTGATGTTTTTGAGCGTTGTTATGACTAATGAGACATGGTGGTTGATCTTATGATTCTGAGATGAAGCAATTTTAATTTAAATCCTCGTATTTTTTTTTTCTTTTGCTTTTGGACGGTAACCTCACACTTGGGGATATAAAAATCAATGAACTTGGAAGCCCAATAATTGTATTCTGTTGCACTACTATTCACATTTGGGTTTTTATAAAATCAAGCTTGTCAGCATGAATTTAACCCTCCTACAAGTAGTTCATGAAGGAGTGCCTAGCAATTAATTAATATATATCAGAAATTGACAGCAACCCTTCTTACCAAGTGTAAAAGCTTGGTTTGCACTATTAAGCTTTATCTACTACATGTACAATTTGCTTCAATGCTTCCCTTATTATGTGTCCCTTTGATTTATCTAATACATGGACAATTTGCTTCAATGCTTCCCTTATTATGTGTCCAAGCTAGCTGCTTAGGCGCTTGTCAGGGCTCCATGATGAATTTGTGGGGGGCATGGAATCAATGCCGCTAGGGGCGGCACATCCATCTGCGTCATCTTCCTCTGTTTCCCACAGAAAACTAGCGTATGCTGCAAGAACGTGGCTGAAACAACCCAAAACGAAAACCCAGCAAGTCAGTGTCTAAAGAAACAGCATTAACAGAATGATAAAGAGTGTTGACAGGAAGCACGTACCTGTCTTGAGGAGAAGCTTGAACTGCTCGCTCGAAGTAGCTTGAAGCTTTTCCTTGGTCATGATGTAGCTCCCATACTAGCTTGGCATATTGCGACAGTGTTTCACCGTCTTTTGGATCTGCTAGGATGGCTCGAGCGTAATACTCTTCTGCTGCCGCAAGGTCTTTCTTTGACTGTCAAAAACAACGACACTATGCTCAGGAATTACCAACTCTAAAAGATGAAGACAATAAGGGGCTGGATAACAGTATTCAAGTCGTCCTGCAACGATCACTCACCTGATACAAAAACTGAGCATAGTTACCCAAAAATAAGGGGTTGCCAGGATTTTCCTCCACCATCCTCCTGTAATGCTCCTCAACTTCATGGTTGTCACCACCATCTCCGCCAGAGCCGGTTGGATTAAATTCACCACCCCCACCCCCACCGCTGCCGCCACTCACACTACCCGCGCTACCACCATCAGTGCCAAGCCCCCTGGCAAGAAACATTTTTTCCCCGGCCAACCCCCCTTCATCTTCAAAACCAACATTCCAACTTTTACCCTTAACCTCCTCATTCAACAATAAATTCTCCATGCGGGATGCGTTGAATTCAAGGCTACCATTCATCGCCGTTACCCTCTCTTCACCACTGTCTAGTAGTTCTTCATTTTCCTTCAACTCCGCTTCCTCTTCTTCTAAATCACTCTCATCTTCCTCTTCCTCACATCTGGCCTTGGAATTATATAAGGAAAAGGAAGGGATGGTTTGCAACATCAAGCGCTGGTGCCTTGCAGAAAGGTTCTTGGGTTGGTTGTGATTGTAGAATTCCTCATTGGTATCGCAAGCAGCATGGACAAGTCTTTCCAAGTTGCCTTCAGACTGAGCCCGGCGAAAGCCTTGACGATCAAAATCAGAGGATTGATCGACAACAGAGGGAGATATAGGAGAGGAGCCGCAAGAAACTATAGTAGAGAGGTGGAGAGAGCCAGGAGAGGGATGAAATGAGATTCTGTTGTGGTTGTGGAGAAAGGAGGTTGATGGATAATGCCTGATGGGGGTGCTGGTTTCGTAGTGATTGTTGTTGTTGGGGCTATCTGTGATGGAAGAAAGGATTGATCCAAGAAGTGGAGTTGAAGAGCTTCTTAGCAGCATATTTTTGTTTTTATTTTTCCCTGCTTCTTTTCTCCTGATGGTGCTTCTGTGGTGGTGGTGGTTGCTGGTTTGAGGTGTCAAATAATTCTGTGAACAAATTAAAGAGGCGGTGGGTGAGCAGCAGAAATATCTTCTCTAAACAAGAAGCCAAAATGAATTTCCTATTATCTTTAGTCATTGGAGGAGCCCCCCCATTATTAAGGATAATAAACAAGCAAGATTGTTATTTCGATTTTGGACACATGTTGATGATTCTTTCAGGGAAGAAGAGGAAGATTCTGGTCCAGTAAAAAGCAGATGGGCAATGTTGCTTATCTCTTTTGCCAGACCCACAAGAATGTGAAAGAAACCCAAAGGCCATGTGGGCAGCTTCATCAAAGAAGCATTGGCAGCTTCTTCTCTTGTTTTAATCAGAAGTTGCATCTGTTGAAGCAATCATTGCATGGAAAAATGCATTTGTGTAACAAATCTTGGGAATTAAGTACCCTATTCTCTTGCTTAAGAAAATCTACAAAAAGCAAAGAAACATACCCTTTGGATTGGAGGTGCAAGAAAGATTCCCTTAGCAGCTCTTGTAACAACAGTCTAGGTAAGAAATAACTTAATTTGATCAACTTGTCTTTTTGAAGGCTTGGAGGTGTTGTTATATAAGGTATATGCCAGCTTTGATCCTAATAATTCCGTTTCGACAATTCGGTGGTCGACCCTACTTGCAATTCAGTCATCACGTTTTACAACTTTGGGCACGTGTGATTCTTCACGTCTTTACTCGGATTCATTACCGTACACGTGGCAGGGACTATTCTTCTGTCGGACATGGCCTTTTGCAGCCTTAATTTTACGTCTTCAAACTTGCTTCCCTTTTGAAACAAAGATTTCCGTTTCTTCACCAAAATATTTAATCTTAACTTTTATACATACATGCGTGTGTGTATATATACATACATATATATATATATATATATATATATCCTCTCTAAGGCCAATAATCTAAGATACAACACATCGTTTTGGAATAATTTCTGAAGAGAAATAACTCTATTAAAATTAATTTCTTTTTTTATTTTTTTTTAGCATAATACTTGGATTTTGAGTCAAATAAACTCTTATGATTTACGGTTATAACTATTTATTAAATATTATTAATCAAAATATCACTTATCATTTTTATATCAATATCATGATGACATAAAGGGTAAAAATATCTCATGATAATATTATCATGTTATATTAGTATGTTATACCATTATCTATTATTATATATCAACATGACCACGTCAATATCATATGGTATAAAATGACATGTCATTTAACTCGAAATAGAAGTATAAATATTTGATTAAATGTAATAAAAAAATAAAAATTTATTTAAATATTTATTAAATAATTCAAGATTTTTTTTCTATTATACTTTTTTTTTACAAGAAATACAGCAAAGATCAATGTAGTTCGACTTCATTCATTAAGCAAATCCAAATCTCATTCATGGCTTGTGCTGCCTTTCGTTGAAGCCAACTTCTCAAGGACCAAATCCTAATTCAATGGAGATTTTTAGACAATTCAAAGACTCAAATGCTTGTAAATAAGTATTTAAATTATAATCACAAACCTCTATCTATACCTATCCAGCTTAAGTTTCCGAAAATGAATTTTTGTAAATGAATTTTTTAAAATTGTTGATAATCTCCTTAAAAGTTTATGTTTTTTTATATTTTAAATGATTCTATGAAATTTTTTTTTTATTGTTTGTCTGTTTATGAAATTTTGCAAAAATATTGACATAACAATTAATATATTAAAAAATTTATTATTAAGATATATTAAAAAAATATTTATGACTAATAGTAATATTTGAAATTAAAATTTAAAAATAGTAATAATTTGTTAGTATTATTAATTATGAAAATATTATAAATATTATTTATATTAATATTAATATTAAAAATTAGAACTATCAATATTGTAAATATGTTACTACTATTAAATAGTTCTATTATATATTAAAATATTTATTATTAAATAAATGAAAATTATGAATATAGTAATATAACAATATTTATCAAATATAGTAATATATTAAAAATATTTTTATATTATTTTTTGCATATTAAATATATTTTGAAATTTAAATTAAATAAAAAAGAATGATTTATTAATGTAATAGTATTTGGAGTTGGGTTGAGCGTGAAAAAGAGTGGATTGGTTGTGTTATAAATGAATGGAAATTATAATTGTAATATGGTATGACATATAGGCAAAACCTCCTTCAAAATCTAAGAGTAAGGTCAATGGAAATTATAAATCGATCTAAGGGAGTGGTTGGCACTAGGGGTGAGCAAATGGATAAATTGGGTAGTTTGGTTCACCATATCTAAGAACCAAATGAATCAATTAATTTTAAAAAATTGACCAAAATGAACCGAATATAAAGAAAGATAAAATCGACCAAACATAAAATTAGTTTGGTTGATCTGGTTTTGGACCAATGGATTAAAGTTTTATCACTTTTTTTTTGTAAATTATAATATTAAAACTTGTAAACTTCATCCATAATTATATAAATATAATTAATGATAGAACTTATATGTTAAAATGTTTTATATCAAAGTTTATATAAATAATAACTAATTATAAATAATATGTTATAAAATCTAAAATGATGATTAATAAACTTATTAAGTGTAATCATATGAATAAAATTTATTACAAGTTATAGTAATGCTTATGTATAAATTAAATATAAGTATATATATTATACATGACTTTATTTTTTATATATATAATTAATGATACAAATTAAATGTTAAAATGTTTTATATTAAAGTTTGTATAAATAATAGTTAATTATAATAATATATTATAAAATCTAACATGATAACTAATAAAGTCATTAAGTGTAATCAAATAAATAAAGTTTACTATAAATTATAGTAATACTTATGACTAAATTAAATATATATAATATTTATACAATTATATATATATTCATAACATTTTATATTACAAAACATTACTAAGGTGTAATAATTATAATATATTAATGTGTAGGATATTTACTATCATATATTATAATATTAACATATAACTTATATCATTTAAAATATATAACTTGTAATTTCATATTAATACAGATTTATAAATAAATAAATATATTTAACTAATATTAAATTACTATGATTATAATTTGTATATGTACGTATAATACCCTAATATATTTTAAGTATATTAAGATAAATTTACTCTCAATTCTTCAATATATATAAAAAAAATTTATATTTTAATATATATATAAATATAAAAAATTAGTTTAGTTTTTTGGGTGAATTGGTTCAAAAATTTCAAAACCGAGAATTGATTAAAAAATCAATTGAATCAAACATTTTAGACAACTTCCAAGTGACAATTTCCAACAGTAATCCACATGAATGATGATTGTGTACAACTCCAACGAAGGATTGGGATGCTTGTGCCTACATGACCTAGTGCTAGCAAAGGGAGAGACTGTCAAGATTAATCACTCTTTCTCAAAGGGAACACAAAAGGTCAGTAAGGAAGAGGAGGGAAGAAGAAGTAGATATTTAGGATAGGTGAAGAGGGGGACGACACTTAGAGTTTCTTCTCCAAACCAACATCCAGGGCTATCAACCTTTGTCAATTTCTCTTCTCTCCTTTCTCAAGGTTTCAAATGTGAATGGTGTGTCTCTCATGTGCAGCACAAGCATTATTTTATGAAAATGTATTAATTTTAACCCTAATAATATTTGCATAATTTATGTTAATAGCAAAATATCCTTTGGACTAAATTGAAACTCTCAATTAAGTCCTTTATTTTAGATTTATTCTTTTATTATTTACCATAGGTTAATGGAGCAAAAGGTCTTTTATTTTAGGAAAACTCTTATGTTTTTTGGTTTATAAATTACCTTGTTCAAATGAATAAACAAACAAAAGTTTATCTTTTTTTTCTTTGTTCTGTAAGTGCTCCATGTTCTACCATTTATGTTTGTTAAAAATCTTTTGAGAGTTATCTTTCTTAATTACAAATGGTCATCAAATATGTTCAAGAACTTCAATCCTAATTATATGTCAAATTTCTAGCCAATATCATCTTGCACTATCATTTACAAGTGCATCATGAAAAATTTTGACAAATGAGTTGAAAAATTACCTCTCTTCTATCATTAACCAAAGCTAGAATTGCATTCATTGACGAGAGAAATCTAGTTGACAATGTCTTAATGGCTTTAAAATTGGTCAAAGGATACCATAAATCGAATCTTTCATCTAAACGTGCTTTGAAGATAGATCTTTAAAAGGCTTTTGACTCCTTTAATTGGAGGTTCATACTTAATGTTTTGGCTGCCTTGCGATTCCCAATTATCTTTATCTTTTAGATAAATGCATGTCTTATCTCTTTGTTAGGATTTTGAGATCAAATTGAAGAAAATTTTGCCATCATTTTTTTGTGAATGAAGACACGTGAAGAATATGGCTTGAGGAGCAGCCATGCTATTGATAGTTCCAAGCTGTCTTGTTTTCATTTTTTTTATTGGCTTATCAAGTTGACCTAGCTTATATATGAGTTGTGAGTGGCAAAATATAGGAGTTTTATATTTTGTTCTTTGTAAGTAAAAACCAAGTTGTAATATATACGAAAAGTGGCAATGAAAACCGTGGTGTTCCCCCTCTTTCATTCCTTTTCCTCGTTTAACAATTCTCTCTTTGTATAATGCTTAATGTTTATAAAACTCTACATGGTATCAAAGCTTCTCTAAGTTCTTAAGGATTAACTAAGCCTTTTCTTCTTCCTCTTAAGTCTCAAAACAAGCTTCCTTCATCAAAACATGACTTTAAGTGGTAGCACTTCATCTCTTTCAGCACCATTTTTCAACGGTGACAACTATGCTATTTGGGTAATTTAAATGAAGGTTTTCTTGAAAGAATTTACCTTAAGGAAGTAGTTGAGCAAGGAAGAGAGCCTCATGTAGTAAGAGCTAACCCCACCATAAATCAAATGAGACACATATTGAAGAAGTGGCCAAAAATAGAAGGCCTTGTCATATATTCACACTGTTGTGACATATACAATATTCACAAAAATCATGCCTTGTGAAATAGCTAAGGAAGCTTGGGACAAGATCAAGGAGGAGTTCCAAGGGTTAAATAGAACTAGAAAGATGCAAGTTTTAAATCCAATGAGATAGTTTGAAGTGTTGACAATGAAGGAAGATGAAGTTGTGAAAAACTATGTTGATAAGCTAATAACGATAGTCAATTAAGTTAGGCTTTTAGGAGTTAAGCTTTCAGATGCTAGGATAGTGGAGAAAGTGTTGGTAAGTATTCTTGAGAGATTTGGGTAAAAAATCTCAACCCTTGAGGAATCAAAAAACCTCACTGCTATGTCTTTGTAAGAGCTTTTCAATGCTCTTCAAGCCTCAGAGCAAAGAAGAGCCATTAGATGTAATGATAACTCTATTATATAGAGTTATTTTGGCATATTTTGGGAGCTCAAGTAGTTAGATTTTTAAATTTTTAGGTTCAGATTTTAGCATTTTAGGTATTTTTATAATTTAAGTTGGATTACATATTGAATAGTTAAATTAAGTTATTTTAGTTCAATTTTAC